AAGTCCACATGAGAATTCACACTGGAGAGAAGCCCTTCACCTGCCAACAGTGTAAAAAAAGTTTCACTCAAAAACAAAACCTTAATGTCCACATGAGAATTCACACTGGAGAGAAGCCCTTCACCTGCCAACAGTGTAAAAAAAGTTTCACTCAAAAACAAAACCTTAATGTCCACATGAGAATTCACACTGGAGAGAAGCCCTTCACCTGCCAACAGTGTGGACAGAGTTTTACGAATAAAGGAAACCTTAATGCCCACCTGAGAAGTCACACCGGAGAGAAGCCATTCACCTGCCAGCACTGTGGGAAGAGCTTTACACAAAAAGTAAACCTTGAGGTTCACCTGAGGCTTCACACCGGAGAGAGGCCTTTCATGTGTCTTCAGTGTGAGAAGAGTTTCATATATAAAAGGGACTTGAAACGGCATTTGCCAATTCATTCTAGAAAGAATTCAAAGTGTTCTGAGTGTGAGAGGTTTGGAAAAAGAAGACATTTCAAAAATCACCTTTGCATTCAGTCTGGAGCAAGGCGGATTAATTGTGATCAGTGTCATAAAAAAAGTATTTTGCCGTCACACAGAAAAAGCCTTCACACCTGGAAAGTCACACGTATGTGAGACCCTGTTGGGGTTCTTTGTGTAGAGAGAGTTTTAAGTAGCTGCAAAATTTAGAATGGCACCAGAAAATATGTATCTGTGTACAATTAAAGCTAAGGTTGACAGTTTCTATGCTACTAGTGTCACCTAGTGGAACTATAAAAATAAAGCATGTTTTCAAACGCCCTTTAGAAGTGTCACACCTCCCCTAACTTAAACATGGCAAATACCGCTCTTACGGGTCTATAAAGGTGAAGGCATGTTGCAGCAGGTTTTAGGAGGCTACTTTCAACAAAAGGTCTAGCATGTTAGCAACACGTGTAACTTGAAGTTTAGCTTGTGTTGAAAGAAAAAAAAAACTACAACTTTGGATCTACTAAAACCCAAACATTCCATCAAATGATTTTGTTTTAGTACACCAGCTAAACAGCCTCTGTTTCTGCAGCTACAGTAGCCATGCCTCAAACTCTCACTATTGGCTGCATTGAGGTATGCAAATGCATAGGTTGACAGGCAGGTAGGACAACCTATCATGATTTGATGAACATTTTATGATCCTAAAGCTTGGGACGCACCAAGCCGTCGTTGAGCGTCTGTCGGGCTAGTTTGTTTGTTTGGTGTGTTCCACACGTCGGCTCTCATCAGACTCACGTCGGTTCGGTGGTAGTTTTTGGAGTCAAAAGTAAGAATTTTTATATTATATTAATTTAAACAATTATTATCAAACAATGATATTAATTTAGTAACATAAATATATATTAGTGTAGGCTATATCTTTAGAGTTTTATACTTCGTTATCTTCTTGTCGATCCACCAGTTCACATTTACAACTGTGTTTTCTGCGTAAAAAGGGTCGTTTTCGGCTTTGGTCTAAACAAAGAGCAGAAGGCCTTAAGTCCCCTTGCCATACAGCCATGGTTTAATGAGAGTTGACAGAAAAATGACACGAAAGCCACAATTTACAAAGAAAGAACTTACAGTTCTTTTGGAGGAGGTGGAAAATGATAAAAATCCAGCTGTTCTCCAAGCTAAAAAACACAATTAAGAAACTTTGGACAGAAATCACACAAAAAATAAATGCTTCTGGCAATGGGTATGAGCGAAGCCCAGAAGAAGTGAGGAATAAGTGGAGGGACTTTGCAAGTGTGACCAAACGGAGGGCTGCGCCACATAGAAGGGAAGCAAAAAAGACTGGTGGGGGTGTAAGATCCGCCCACTGGTCCAACGACAGTAGCCAGTGATCCAGTAGAAGGATTCTCGCGTTTTGCTGTCTTTCCTTTTATGCAGCACAACAATATTAAATTAAATACATTTTCTTGTGTTTTACCTCTTTTATTCATCTGACTCCAAAAATGAAAAGGGTTAGGAGAGTTGTTTGTTACTCATTAAATTTAGGTGAGTGTTTGATCATTCTGTTTTACTCATGACTTTGATATTTACTCGTTCATTAGGAATCTATGTCGCTTAAGATGCCTCACGGCAGCCGCTATGCGTGGGCTCCACGATCACAAACTCGCCAGTTTGATCCTTATTCAGAGGTTTGTGGCTAATACTATTTAATATACTTTAAATAGTAGGTTTGTATAGCCCACTACAGTTACCCATGTAATGCTCAAACATTAATCAGCGGTTCTTCTAGACCCTTAGTCTCGCCCCCGATAGTTAGTATAACTACGTACAACGTAATTAAAGCTGAAATCATACACATGGTTAACGTAACTGAGTACCGAGACCCCTTTACCAGACACAGAGACCTTTCAAACTACATCAAACATGAATTGTTGCATCGTTATAAACCCCGATTAAGAAAGGTGGTTTTGGCGATCTCTGCAGTGTCCTGTGTTCAGATGGAAATGAGGGGAGAGAGGGGAAGAGTGAAGGTGTGGAGCTTTTGTTTCTCTCAGTTGGGTGTATTGCTTTAGGCTTGCGAGACAGAGTTCAGATGTTGATTCTCGTGAGAGTTCTTTGTTCTCTGAATGCAGAGGAAGAGAAAGTTTTGGCCATCCTGGGTCCTGAGGCATTGGAAGGCATCCTTGAAGGCATTGATGCATGTGCATCGACCAGGTCTTTGCCTTCAAAGTTGAGCCCTCCAACATTGGGCATCCTCCAGTCTTGCCCTCCAACATCGGGCCTCCTCCAGTCTGGCCCTCCCACATCGGGCCTCCTCCAGTCTGGCCCTCCCACATCGGGCCTCCTCCAGTCTGGCCCTCCCACATCAGGCCTCCTCCAGTCTGGCCTCCTCCAATCTGGCCCTTCAATATAGACAAAGAGGGCTATTGCTCTCTTCCCCTGACTCGCTTCAGTCTGAGGCCTCCTCGTGTGCTGAGCAACATCCTCCTGATATTCCAGAACACCAGCCATTAATCTCCCGACAAAGGAGAAACAGGGGACATTGTGGCTGCAGTGAAAATCTGCTTCAGTCTGAGAAGAGGAAAATAACTGAACTCCAGGAAATCAGGAAAGAATTGACAGCCCTGAGGGAGCAGCAAGACAGACATCATCAGGAGGTAATGGCCTATAGGAGGGCTAAATTAGAACTATTACAACAACAGGCCAGCAAGCCCTCTTTAACCATGTTTTTACCAACTGACAGTAAGTGCAAATGGCATTATTCATTCATTACTCAGTATGTAAAGTCAAATCATGAGTGGCTGACAGCTTTGCAACTATTTGAAACTGTGTATTTTCTTTTCACAGATCAACAGATGTAACCCTCATCATCTTCTTTTCTATTTTTATTTATTTATTTAAATATTTTACTTTTTTGGCTACATTGCCACCATGCCTCCCAAAATCCAACCCCTCGTCCTTGTCCTGGGAGGTGGAAACAGACTGGGTCTGGCAAATGGGGCTCTGGTGAAGCGGTGCTCTGGTGTGGGTTTTCAGTGATAAAGCAGTTCAAAGCCTTCAGCAGTTAATTTGAAATACAAAATAAAATATACCATTTTATGTCCAAACATACTCTTTTGTAATATATAAATGCTCTTTTGTATATGTACCGTAAGTGCTTTTCTAATACATTTGGCATTCTTACAGTAGTTTAACATGTGGAAAAGTAACTTGACTCAGTACTATATTAATGCCAGTTCAAAATGTGGGCAATTGCTAATTGAAGATAAAACATTTTTACCATGCCTTGTCATCCCTTATTAAATACCTGAATCATGTGACTAAGCCTAATTATGAAGCATATTTATGGAATGGAATTCAAACTTTTATGTGACAGCGGTAAGCCACCATCAGATACACTAAAACCATAACTGAAGTTGTCTATGTAAGGATTTCTCAATTCACAACATTATATCAATGACAATATCAGCCAAACATGGCACAAAACACTCTAAGTACTCAGATCATTTTTAAGAATGGCATGACAATTATGGAAAAAACAGTATGACAAACAAAAAAGTAATTAATACATTAATAGGATAATGCTGTGCCAAATTACTATAACACATCTTGGACAGATCACTTGTTTAGGTAGTTAATTTAGATTGATTATTACCTGAGGTGTTTCTATCATCTCTCTGATGCATCAACAGCAGGTGTACTAAGAACTCTCCTAATAAAAACAGCATGCATATGTGTTTCAAGTGCTCAACAATGGCAGCTTTACAAAGAATTCTACAGCTTGAGCATAGAAGGCGGCGCAGAAGTCAGACAGTGTACATAAATGCCTACATAAGGACACATTTTACCCCCCTTGACGCACTGATGATGTCATCTTGAGAAAATTCCGGTTTCCAAGGAACAAGATCCTTGAATGACTTCAGATTGTGAAACTACACCTTCAGAGGGCCACAAGAAGAAACTATGCCTTAAGTCCAGCGGTGCAGTTGTTAGCTACACTGAGTTTTTATGCTGTTGGAAGTTTTATGGAGGTGGTGGGTGATGGCCTGGGGCTCAGCAAGTCTTCAGTCAGCAAAACTGTGACAGCAGTAACACCTTTGCTTTTGCAGCTTATGAAGAACATCCTGATTTTCCCCAAAACACCAGAAGAAATCCAGCAGGCCAATCGACAGTTTTATAGTATTGCCAGCATCCCCAGAGTGATTGGCATCATTGATGGCACGCTTATCCCAGTGGCTAGCCCTATTGTAAATGAGCCATTACACATTTGCAGGAAGGGCTACCCAGCTATTAATGTTCAAATAGTGTGCAATCTCCAGGGGATGTTTACTGACATTGTTGCAAAGTGGCCTGGGAGCACACATGACTCTTTTGTATGGGCCAATTCTGCAATTTGCCAGGGGGCTGAAGAGGGTGGCTTTGGGGATAGCTGGCTGCTGGGAGACAGTGGCTATTCTCTTCGCCCATACCTCAATAACACCTGTGCAGCATCCAGCCACCATTGCAGAGGAAAGATTTAATCAGGCCCATGGAAGGACACGCTCTACAGTGGAGAGGACTATAGGACTGTGGAAACAACAGTTTCGCTGTATCAGCAAGTCCAGTGGTGGCCTGAAGCTGAACCCCTCCAAAAGCTGCTCTGTAATTGTAGTAACTGCAATTCTCCACAACATTGCAGTCAAGGAAAATGTCCAGCTTCTTGGTGAGGAAGAGGGGGGTCTTGCTGATGGTGAGGAAGATGGCACTTCTGATGATGATCCTTTGAACACACATCAAGGCAGAATGCATCCTGCAGGAGTAGAAGTCAGACAACTGTTAATTCAGAATATGTTTGGTTAGTTAATTTTTGACAGTTTGGATACTGTATTTTTTGTTTAAATGAATCTGACACTTGTGTTAATAAATATTTTGTTTATTTGCCTATATGGTTTCCACCTGCAGACTTAATTTAAATAATTTTGCAAACAAGAAGTAGGCTATATTTGTTGTTTATAAAGCCTATGAGAATATTCCTTATTTATAGCATTGTTTTACATTTATTTGGGAACATTCATTGAATGTATATTGAGTAATATTTTAAATAGGTCTACCCTATGTTAATGTATGAATTTGACACTTTCTTAGCGCTTAACACTCTATGCACTGTATATATTGAATAGCCTACGTGAACAGTACAGATAACATTCACTATAAGTGAAAATCTCTAACATGAAATCTCTAACAAATATTTTTATGAGAAATTTGTCTTTGGGAATGTTTTAACAAAGATACTCACTTGCAAATTGACCTTTTCTTCGCACAAACCAAACCAAGGCTGCGCTCCAACCGGCATAAATAATGTTTTCGTAGGGCACTTCGAAGGGAGAATAATTGCGATGGTCACGCTGTTATATAGTTTCAAAGTAAATTTGTAATGAAAATAACCTAAAAATTTATAACATAATATCTGAGCACCACAACATCAAGTCTTCCAAATCACTCAAAGTGGTTGGAGAAATCTTAGAAACGAACAGTGCATAGGGTCGTTAACTGTGAATAGAACACACCCCAGGTGCGGCGCAATCAATGACGTCGACACAGCAAACTAACAACAACCTGTGCCTCTAACCACAGGTGAAGAGCTGTCGTTCCAACGATACAAGTTGGCGATGCAGTTTGCGAATGTTCGTTTTTAATTATGGTTTCGGGAAACACAGAATCGTTGAACTATGTTGGTAACGACAGAACTTGCGACCATAGTTGGCTAACGATGCTTTTGGGAAACGCACCCCTGATCAGTGACATGAATACATGATTCCTTACTACAGCAGCTATAGTCGAGGATTTTGCAAGTGTCCTGCAAATAGGGCGTATGAGTACTGTCTCAGTTTTGTGCCATCCACTAATACAAAAACACCACAGTGATCTGAGATGAGATATCTCAATGCTGTATATGCAGCTACTTTCCCTTCAGAGTTCTTCCCACTTGAGCTTTTGAAACAAATCTACAAGATGCAGCTCCAGAGTATTTTCAGTGAAGTGTGCGTTGCCTTGCGCATATTTTTCACTTTGCCTGTGAGTGTTGCAAATGGAGAGAGAGCCATCAGTAAGCTTAATCTTATAAAGAACTACCTCAGATCAACAATGTCTCAAGAAAGACTAAATGGTCTAGCCATGCTCTCTATTGAACACGATTTAGCAAGACGGCTTGATTTCAAAGATCTAATCAAAGATTTTGCTGTGAGAAAAACACACCGTTTGGCACTTGGGGAATAATACAGATTATAAGACATTAAGAAAGCATTTTATTATTGTCTGTGTATGAGAGAGACAGTACAATGGTGTTAATTTCTTGTACTGTTTACAGTATATAATTATTTGTATATTATGTTTCTAAATGCATAATTTAAGTTAACTTAATAAACTGTTCAAATTTAGTTCTTTATTGTCTCTCATTGAATATGCAATAATTCTAATGCTTATTGATTTTGATTGTTGCTATATGTGACAAGAAGGTAAGATAATTGGGGGATGGGTCCTTGGGGCCTAGAGTACACGTTAACCAGTGGGCCCAGAAGCATGCCTGTCAACCCTCACGTTTTTCCCGGGATTCTCCCGTATTTTTACCATTCTATCATCCCGTTTAAATATTTTCCCGCATTTTTAATCTTTCTATTAAACAAAAGTCCCACTGGGCGTATTTTATATGTTTGCTAAATTTGCTTCCAGTAAAACTCTCGTAATTTGTATGAGCCAAACCTCATTATATGAATAATCAAGTCAACAAATTCCAAGGTTGTCCAGTTGCCAGATCTTGTATGAAACAAGTATGAATCTTTCTCACACGATCGACGCAGACAAATTTCAACCCATTTGTCCCCTCAACTTGGCAACCTACAGCTATGGAGTCAATAAAATGCCACATATATATGCAAAATAATAAAGTTTTGCAAAAGAAAATAAAGTTTTGCAAAAGAAACATAAAGTCTTGAGCAAAAAAAATAAGTTTTCCAAACAAAAATAAAGAATTGCAAAAATTAAGATATAATTCATTGCAAAAATCAATGACAGTTGTAAAAGAAGCTTATGAACGGTGATTCTATTTTATCTCTGCAACACATATTTTCCATGCTCACACTTACTAATTAATTTGCAATGCTCCATTTATTTTGCGTTTCAGTCAAGCGTGAGTGGTTTGCTCTCCTGTATTGGCGCATTGGAAGAACAGCTCGTGTGTGTGATTGCTGCTCTCGACAATTTAGCGTGAGTAAATATGCTTTTATGCATAGGAGTTGAATTGAATGAGATGTTAGTATAATATGCCCGCTAATGTGTTTTAGGATTATTTCCGTGCTGATGACCTGTTGATCCGAAAACGCGGTGTGCGTGCAACTCCGCGGGGTTTCAGCTACCTAATGTGAGTGCATGGCCAAGTTCATTGACAAGTGAAATTGATATGAAATGCGGTGCCATAAATTTAGGATGTGTTATTTTAGGTTCGCTCTTGTGTTCATACTCGGCTGAGTTGCGAGTGTCCATTTATACAGAATATACTGCATTGCAACCCACTTCTGCCTTTAGTGAGACTGTTACGTCCAGTCATCAAAGTGAGTCATAGCGCAATGTTGGAAGGTACGTGAGTATTTTGTTTGTTTTAAGGTGAAATATGGGGGTTTTATGTGCAATAAAAATGTCAATTGGTTTTAATTACAGGTTTTAAATCCTCTCTCGGATTTAGCGGCCACCGTTTCTTTCCCACTAAAATTTGAGATTTATTTGTTAGTTGTGGTGTTTGCTTTATATTTAGTTTATTGGGTTTTCATGGTATTATAACTTTTGTGATTTTATGATATTCATTTTGTTGTGAATGTTGTTTTATTGATTGGTGTACCACGGTATGGGAGGTCTTATTTGTGGTTTGTGTGATTTTGCTTGTTTGTTTCAGGTATGGTTTGAGTGGTTTTGAATAATTTTGGGTTTCTGTTTCCTCCCATGTGGTGTGTTATCAAGTCTATGATTCAGGGTTGATTTGCCTTATCTTGGGTATCATATTCATCATTGGTTTTATACAATGTAATTTAATAGTTTCATTTAAGTTGGTTTACTTTATTTCAGTTTTGTATTTAGATCCTTTTTTTTTTACATTTCTGTCAACCCGGTTATTATTTTAATAACATTATCTATGGAAAAGGATTATATCTGTCATTCTAATAAAGTATTAACCTTTTGTACTCTGGCTTTTAGTTCATTTATTTGAACTACCTGTGTTAAAGATATCATTGTTAGGGTCCCTTACCCTAGAAAGTGGGGGTGGCGTAGTAAATTTGGCCGACATTCCTAACAGCCATATATTTGAGGTCACATTAGCAACAGGTTCGAAAGTCAGCATGGCAGAGCGCAGGTCTGCGGGTGGATTCCAGGTATGTAAAGTTGATTGTTTCCTTTTATTTCACTAACATTTAAAATGTGTGTTTAGTTAACTACATGCGATTACTATTAACGTCGTTTGCCAAAGTTTAAGAAGTTAGAGATCATTTACTCGCGCACGTGAACGTGTTGGAAAAAGTTAGCATCTGCTAGTCCTTTAATCTCAATATGCACACTTTTATACTGTTAATGGATTATTTAATTTTATTGAATATGATATTCTTACACTACAAAGTATGTAAAATATATTATATTGTGTCTCTTCAAGCAGACTGTAAATGGATAAAAAAGTTAACTGATTTCAAGTGCACACCTTTTTTCATAATTCTGCGTTTAGACAGCTGTTAAGTTTATGCCCACTGTTAATGTACGATGATTTTGGTAATCTAATATAATTATTTTGCCATTACACATTTAGCAGAGAGAGAACCAAGATGTTACTGCAGCAGCACAAAATTTAATTAACATTCTGACCCAAAGCCTGGGTCAGATACAGCCAGGTCAGTGTCAGCAGCAGCCTTCTCCTGCTTTTTATCAACCAGCTCAGGGTCAGCAGCAGCAACAACACCTGCTGTTTGTTCACCAAAAATAGATCAAGATATGACCAGGTTATCAGCACCCTCACCTAACGATTAAACTGTTCTATTCGTCTTTCTTTTGCACATTTAACATTAATTAACACTCTTATTGTATTATAGAGCATTTTCTAGAATGTTTAAGAAGAAAAAGAAAACTGCAAACACGCCAATACAATCTAAAGCAACAGCATGGAAGCCATTTACAATTAATATTTGTCTTTTAAACAAAATCACTGAAACCTCACCCTCCCCTTCTGATGAGCTGGAGTTAATCCAGGCAGGGCTGGGAAAACATACCATTACAGTTTCGTCGAACATGAACCATTCTGAAGTAAGTAAAATTTTTAGTAGTATTGCAAAACATTTGTACAACTTTGTGGCCATGTCGATGTAAGGTCACCCAACCCCAACAAGTTGTTAAACGGTCAAGTAAAGCTCAATGGCTGCTTTCTTAATTGCTTATGTACTTTGAACAATCCTATGTGCAAACTTTGAACAACCGTTTTAGTGCAAACTGTACAAGTCATATTTGAGTGGTCTTACACAGGGTTACAATTGTACATTCTCTTGGCATCCCAAAGCATTCACATGTATACATACCCTGTTAAAAGAAGTTATTCTTTTATCGTATTGCACAAGGAAGTGATATTACAGTATGGGTTAAACTCGGGAACTGGTCATTACTAATAATTTTTTTTAGCTTCAACAGATAAAAGCCTAATTATATTGTAAAGGCCCACTATGGTTTGATGTGTTGTAATGTATATTTGAATTGGCAGGTGGTAATGGAAGGAGAAGGCTTACTGTTGTCCCTCCAGACTCAGAGGGCTACACTGGCAGCCTTATCAAAATGGCAACAACCAGTGGAAGAACAGCACTCTACATGGTCCCTCTTCAAGATGAGTTGTGTCTTGATCCACTTCCATTCTCAGCAGAGGAGTTTGTCAAGATGCCAAAGGTGGAGTGTCGGACATGTCAAACAACCATGCCATTACCAGTTTTATACATGCATGTCAAGTCCTGTGGTGGCACACAATCAGCTGATGATGATGAGGTATGTTATTTATACCAGTGGTTCCCAAACCTGTCCTGCCCTACTCTGCACATTTGTTTGTCTCCCTAATCAGACACCCCCAATTTAGTTCTTGCAGTCTCTACTAACAAGCTGATGAGTTGAATCGGGTGTGTTAGATAAGGGAGACATACAAAAGGTGCAGGGCAGGGGGCCTTTGTTTAATCAGGGTTGGAGCTAAACTCTGCAGGACACCAGCCCTCCAGGAGGCTGTTTCATAAAAAAAGTTTACCAAATAGTCCAGGCTTATTTCAGTTAGTCTGACTTATTTTGAACCAAAGTGACAATAAGTCAGACTAACTGAAATAAACTTATTATAGTCTTATTTGATAAACTTATTTTATGAAACAGCCCCCAGGGCCGTGTCTGGTAACCCCTGATTTTAACAATAGCGCACAATTGTAACTGTCTACACTTCAATGAACTTTGGTATTAGGCTGCACATATACCCAGTTTTGCTATTTCAGATTACTGATGATGATGAAGTAAAAATAGTTGCTGTGACAGCCAGTACTGAGACCACTGCCACCCCAAACCCTACTAGCCCTACACCTACCACTCTTCTGCGAGCCTGTTCTCCTACACCCACCACAAGTTATGAGGTGATATGAATATGTATTGTGAAAAGTTGTGCTGTAAATTATAAGAGAGATGCTTAAGTACCAGTGCAGTTAGTGTAAGTATTTTTAGAGACACCCTGCCCTTAACTGTCCCCCGTGTAATGCAATGGCTAACTGGCCAGGGACACAAGCCACTTCTCATGTCAGAGCGTCAAGAATACAAAAAAACTTTGCATTTTGATCATGATTGTCATCAGAGGATGCCTGCACACCGAATCTGCTACCCAGTTGTAAGTGCCTGTGCAAGAAAATTTACTTTTCCTGTAGCACACATGGACAACTACCATTTGTTCAAGGTAGTCATGCTGCAGGCTATCAACTCTGATTTTGGATTTAACAGTGTAAATTTGTGCGTAGCATACAATGCCGTATTAAATGTAGTTGCATTGCTCCATGTTCAGGGCTTAGAGTACTGCTATATGTTGTTACATATTCTTATTGTAACTCTAACACCAGAAAGAAAACGGGCAAAGTGTATTTTGTTTTGAATTTCTTTTTATTCTGATTCCATAGAAAATACATGTTCTGTATATACAGTGATTTTAGAATCTTGCAATTAATTGTTAAATTTTACTTTTAATACTTACTGTTCTGTTTACTGTAGAAAGAAAACCTTCAAAACAATAACTATTTTATTAAAGGTTTTTCAAAATTTTTATTTTGTACTATATCTCGTTTTGTTCTGAATATGTCGGGAATACATTGTAAACATTTCACTGTCATTTAAGAATGAAGGATCACAAAATGTAACGCCACTAAATATTTGTCCCTGCCAAAGTTTTGAGATTGTGAGGTTGGGTCAACAACAGCTTGCAGCTGGGCATTCAGTTCCTCAGTTAATGTGCAATCTACTGGAGGAACTACAATTCCTCCAGACGGCTGGTCAGGGATTCTGGTCGTGTCTTCATCTTGAGGATATAGTTTATGGACATGGTATATTTTATTGCTGCAATACATTAGGTGAAAATATAAATACATGTTCTGGCACAGAACAAATTCAGTCAAATTATAGTAAATACCTCAGTTTCTGGAGGATCGACAGGGCTTTGAATCAGCCCGATTTCCCACATTTGGTTGGGACTTCGATTGCCCTCTGTGCGGAGAGGATGTTATTCCATCCACAAGTAAAGGAATCAAGGCTGGCCTGGAGGCGCGGCAGGAACACATAATGACAACAAAACATGTGGAGGCTGTTGGCTGGATCTAGTAACCCTTCCTCCTCGAGAGTGTGTAATACATCATAGAAGATGTTGGTTACAGCCATGCATACGTCGCGCCAAAGACGTTCAATACTGAGAAATGCAGACAAAACAGTGTGTAATCATTTGATTAACAGCACCTTATTGCAGAAATGTTGAGTACACCGTTATTCTTACAAATAGAATGTGCCATGTCTCCACCATCCGGCACTCTCCCACTTCCTTTTCAGACTTACCCTACTCCAGGCAATACAGAGGACCAGATGTTCAGGAGGAAACTTCCATACCTCTCACGGAAGGAGTTTAGAGTCCATGGAGGTCAGATTGGTGACTCCACCTCTGAGATTAGCTTCAAAAGCTTATGCAGACAAATTGAAGAGGGTCTACACGAACACTTTAGTGAGAGTGAAATCATCCGAGGGGTGCTAAAAATCACTAAACCTGGTCACTTCAAGGAGATGCTGATGGAAAAGAGGATTTGACAGTGCAAGAGTTGAAAGGGCTGCTGCAGTCTCACTTAGGTGATAAGAGTAGCACTGAGCTGTTCCAAAATTTGATGTGTGCACGTCAAGGGGAAAATGAAAATCCGCAGCAATTTCTTTATCGTGTCATTGGCCTTAAACAGAAGATCCAGTTTGCTTCCAAACACAGCACTGCTGATATAAGGTATGATGCTAAGACCATACAAGAGGTGTTTGTCCATACGGTTTGCCAGGGTTTGGGGCCCAAGCATGGCGAGCTTCGTTGTGAGTTTAAACAACTTGTTGCTGCAGGAGACGTAACCGATAACATGCTTCTTAGACAGCTGGTAAAGGTTACAAGTGAGGAAGAGGAGAGGCAGCGTCGGCTGCAGTCACTTCCAAGACCTAATGTCACTCATGCTCATAGTGCTCAGATTGAAGGGGTTTCAGAAATTAAGGCAGCAGCTGCAACTACTGAACAGACTGATAAAGAGATTCGCAAGCTTATCACCCAAGTAGAAGCACTGACAAATGTAGTCAATTCACTGCAACAGGCCAAGGAGAAAGAACAACAT